CCCCCCAAGACCAGCACACTGGACTCAAGGCTTGTTCTGGGGGCCGGAGGTGGCTATGGAGGCTGGCAGGCTGTCTTTGGGATGCCCTCGGGGTGGGTGAAGCCCCGCGTCCCTGAGCAGCCACTCTCCCCATGGCTGGTTCTTGCTCTGCAGCTCCCCTGGGCATCCTCCTGGTGCCCCAGCATGTGACCTCGGCCCCCCAGCCTCATGCAGGGCCTAGCGGGCGGAAAGAGCCATTCAAATGTGAAACGTCCGGGACGCCTGGCTGGCTTAGAGTTTGCCACTCTTGGTCTTGGGTTCTATGTTCGAGCCCCACGTTGGAGCTGGAGATTATTTAAAAATAAAATCTTTAAACGTGGAATGTCCAGCCAGAGATGGTGGTCTGGGCCACCAGGGCAGTTTTCCTGGGCAGGGCTGTGTTCTGGGCTGTTCCTCAAAGCAGGCGGGCCTCCTGAGCTTGAAGCCAAGGCAGGGCCAGGCAAACAAGCTGCCACTCGGGAGAGCGGTGACAGGCGGGTCACCCCCTTAGGTCCTTCTTTAGGAGCCTCCAGTCCCAGCCTCCCCTCTTCAACCCCACTGGCCGAGGACGCCAGTTCCAGGGGGCAGGCATGGTGGTGGGTCCCTCCTGCCACCTGAGGACACCTGAGGAGCTCTGCCCCCTCCGTACAGCCACGGGGGCAAGAGCCACAGGACAGCGTCCACACGTGGCCTCTCATCCCGAACACCTCAGGGCAGTGTGCGCAGGGGAGGACAAAGTGAACCCCAACACAGCATGGGGGACACGGGCGAGCTGGATCTCGGCAGACCCCACAGTGTTGGTGGGGACGCTCGGGCTGAACGCCACAGCACAAACAGCCTCCCTTGTACTTCGAGTGAATCCCGTGCCAGTGGGGCTGTCCCACCAGGCCTCCCTGTAAATGAGCTCGGCCGCCTCCAGGGTTTCCCGCCACGTGCGCGCACACACACAGACACACGCTTTAGGCTGGGAGTTCCCGGAAGCCAGTGTCCCCCTCCCACCCTGACACGCGGGGCCGACCACTGCAGGAGCTCACGTCCCCCACTGCCAGACAAAGCCAGACAGCCCTGCATCCTGGGGCACCCCCCTCCCCGGAGTGCACACTTCCTTTCACGGTACGCACGGCACCGCAGCGTGGGGAGTCCACACGCACCCTGAGGCCTAGAAAGCATGCCTGGATCTCGGGTACCTACGACCGCCTATGTTAGCATGGGGCCGGCCGGCAAGACGCCCAGAGGGCAGAGCCCCCAGGCCCCTGAGCGCTGGTGCGGTGCTCACCCCCGGGTCGCACGGGAGCTGAGCACCTCTGAGAGTTTGGCCCACTGCCCTGACCTAGCCTGGGGCACAGCCAGCCGGGCTCCCACAGAGGCACCCTGCTGAATGTGGTGGCCAGCCAGCCAGGCCAGCAGAGGAGGTGCTTTGGACCCAAAAGCCCCGCTGCTGGCTCCTTCGGGGCCAGAAGAGACTCCAGGCCCTGCAGTCAGTGGCTTCCAGAAAGCCTGCGCTAGGGACCCCAGGCCTGGGACCCAGGAGGCTCCTGTCTGGCCGATGCACTCGGCGCCTTGGAGGCAGTTGCGGCAGAGGTCTGAGCGCCTGAGACGCCTCTCCGAGGAGCCTCCAAGGGCGGGCCGCGCTTACTGGCCTCTGCCCCCTGGTGGCTGGTGTGAGAAGCACAGGGCGTGCCGTGGTGCGGAGGCTTGGCTGGGGGCAGGTCTGCAAGATGGGGACTCCAGCCCCTCCCGGTGACAGAGAGCCGCCCGACAGGTGGCCCTCCCTGTCTCCAACAGCCTGCTGGGAACAAGGGGCCAGCTCCAGCGTGCAGGGAGGAGGCAGTGGGGTGCAGAGTGGGAAACCCTGCTGTGGACCCAAGAGACCCTTCTCCTTGAAACCCTGCAGGGCATCCTGCTGACGCCTGACACCCATATCACACGGGAACAGCACCTGCGGCCTCACAAAACACACGTGTGCACACACATGCATCATGTGCGCACGCGGCAGGCCACAGCCCAGCACGTGCATGCACCCCTGCTCGGCCCCCCGCTGCTTTCTCCCCCTTCCACCCCAGCCCCTAGAACCCCTCCTCAGCACCCAACACCGTGTCCCCTGGCATGCCTAGGACACCATGTCTAGGACTCTCCTGCATGTCGAATAAGCTGTGTGGGAAGGGACAGTGTCCCTTTCTGTCTCACACGGACATGTCCCCCAGACCCCAGACTAAGAACCAGCATCAGCTGTAACAGGCCTCAAAATGGAATGAGCTCCCCTTCTCTGGGGGTGACCAAGCACTCACTGGCACCAATCTGACCAGATGTTGGGAGCTGGAACATTTGGTCTCAGTTTCCACAAGTCCATGACCTCGTACAGCCATGAGGTTGCCCTAAGTCAGGATATCCCAGCTACAGCCACACCCCAATGAACACCCCACATGCTGGTGCAGGAGCCCTTTGTCCCTGCGGCTGGAGCCCCCAGTGTGAGGGGCCATCTGTCCGGGGTCCTGGGACAGGTGAGCCCCAGCTGTGAGGTCCAGCTCTGAGCACTGTTCCAAGAGTCTTGGTCCCTGGGGCCTGTGCTTCATGCTGATATGTCCACACTTGAGAGCACAGAGGCTCACACTTCTCCAAGCCCCAGGGATGTGCATGCCAGGGGCCACGCTGTTTTGGGGTTCTCGATGCCTTTCCATCTCATCCAACAAGCGTTGCTGGATCCCACCGTGCACATGCAGGTACTGTGCAGGAGTGAGGGCTGGCTCCCAGCTGGCCCCCCTCTTGGGCACAGTCTGATAGGGAGCAGGGCCCCCCAAACTAGGTCATGAAACCCAATCAGTTAAAAAGTGAGCATGCAGTGGGGATGCAGATGTATGTGTACATACATAGGCAGAGTCAAGCACTACCTGTCATGAAAAAAAGACTCCAAACACATACGCATAAAAAGAGAAACTAAGTAGAACTGTAGCAATCGCTCAGGAGGTGCCTATCCTAATTGGAAAGCGCTGCTCAGGCGGCTGACAGAGGCAGATGGGTGGGGCCCACAGCCTGGCTCCCAGCCAGCTGTCATCCCTAAGGTCTTAGGTGCCAAGGGAAGACTGCTGTGATTTCTTCTGGAAGGCAGAGACTCTGGTCCCTGCAAGTCCTGCTCTGGTTGAAAGAGGGGCAGTTCCAGGAGACTGGTGGAAAATGGGCAGGCGTGAGGCTTAATGGCCAAGTAAAGCGGCCATAAGGAAGATAGAAGGACACAGAGCAAGAGTGGATGGGGACAGCTGCACCCCCTCCCTGGCACTGCATAGGTGTGGACAAGTAGATGCCAGTGTCCTCCTCTGTGGGTCCTTCCTGGGTCCAACCCAGACACAACCCTGTGAGTTACAGCCAGTGAGTCTGCATGACTCCAAGGAGGGCTGAGAAGTGGGTGGGGGTCATTTGTAATGACAGCCCTAGGAAAAGAATATACTGCCCCTACCCCACAGTGGCTCCAAGGACCCTCGGGATCCCAGGGAGCATTTCCAGGATGAGATCAAGAACACTCAAGTTTCCCTAAATAGTGTGAGCATCTCTCTGGGGATGAGGGACATCTTCTTGGCGGGCAGCCACACACTGTGTAACCGGGTGAGGAGGGACAGTGTGGGCGGAGGGCTGACCCAGGTACCTGCAAGCCTTATCTACGTCTGGCAGGGGAAAGAAGGAAGAGCGGGTATAAATAGAAAGCTTGCGAGGCCACAGAACAGGTGAATAAGCAGAAGGCAGCCACGTGTCCTCTGAAATCCACACGCACAACAGCAGGGTGCCAGGCTATGGCCCACAGGAGAGATGCGTGCCTTCTGTCCGTGCACCACCTGCCCTTCCATGCTCTCACCAAGCCACATGTGCTCCCCTGGGTTCCTATTCCCCCACTTCCTAACTTCTCAGAGCCTCCACCTTCTTGTCTGCAACACTATGAACATCAGACCCTGGGTGACATGGCCCTCCCTCCCTGCTTCTCCAGAGGTCCTTCTACAGGCTCACCATCAACTTCACCTCGTCGCCCCCCAAGCCCTCGGCTGGCAAAGAGCACCAGCAGTCCCGTGGCACCCGGGCCTCAAAGGCACCGCCAGAAAGGCAGGCCTGCTGCACAGCCACAGAAAAGCCCCGCAGCTGTCAGGGGCAGGCTTGGGGCTGTGTCCAGTCGTCCAGAGAATGCCCCATCTGACCCCTGAAGTCCTGAAACGTCCACATCAAAGGGACCAGACACTCAGACATGGCTCGTCCAGCTCTCTGCCGCACTGAAGGAGGGACACGACTGCCCAGGGTCACAGACTAGGCTGTTGCACAGCACACGCACTTCCCCCCCTTTGATGAAACTTCCCATAAGCGCAGCTCAGAACCCCTTGGAATCCCAGAATTCCAGGCTGTGTCCCTTCTCCCAACCAAAGGAGCCTTCTGGAGGCGCAGGCCAACTCCTAAAGCCCTGTCCCCAGAGGATAGGAACCCTCCCCAGGTTTCACCCCCTGGGAAAGGCCTCTCTCCCCCAGGTCAGCTGACCCCCGTCACCACTATGGCTAGTCAGGTGGGTCAGCTTTGGAATTCGGGGCTTGTGCTCATCAATCCTACCGTTGCGAGTTTGCGCAGCAGGCGGGGCGGGTGTAACCAGCTGGAGCAGGGGTTTTGCGCACGCCTCCACCGCCGTGTGGACTGGAGCCCGGCTCGGCTTCCACCCAGCCCTGACCTCCGCCCTTTAGTCCACGGTGAGTGGGTGCGCCAGGCTCCAGGGGTCGGTGTGACTCGCGGCGCGCGCCAGGGCAGTCCCGTGGGGAGGATTCGGCGGCCACGCGCTCCCTCCCCCGCGGCCCGCGCACCTGTCCTGGGCGTGGCCCCGAAGCCCCGCCCCGCGACCCCGCCCCGGCCGCGCCTTGCGCTGGTTGGCCCAGAGGGCACGCTATGCTAATGAGCCAGCCCTCCCGCCACCTGCCTGCAGCGCAGCCCGCGGGCGTTGGGCGGACGCGCTGGGGGACCCGCGTTAGCAGGGGGACCATGCCGCGCTCCTTCCTGGTGAAAACGCACTCCAGCCACAGGGTTCCCAACTACAGGCAGCTGGAGACGCAGAGAGGTAGGGGCTGCCGGGCTCCTCGGACTCCCGCCCCAGGTGGGAGGAAAGGAGTTATCTTGCCAGCAGAGCGGGAGCGAGACCCCGGGTGGGTGGGTGGCCTCCGGGCGCCTCGTCCGCTTCGGGGGCCTCGGACCCGCGTTGGGTTGAGCAGGCGCGGATTCCCTCCCCACTCAGAGAAGTTTCTAGACCCCCCAGTCACTTTGGGGCTCTCCCCCTGTGGCCTGGTAAACCCATCCCAGCTAAGGGAGCCCTGGAGCCATCTTCCTGGTGCAGGAGGTTGGGTGGGTAGGTGGGTGGGGACCCAGGGATTGGTGGGGAGAGAGATGGGAGGACTTGGGGCTGCTGTCCAAGTGCTCCCCCAGAACATCCAGAGAGGACCAGAAGAGCGATCCATGGGCTCTGTGTGCCAAGGCCCAGCTCTTGTAGCGCTCCTCCAGTCCCCTCCATTGCTTCCTCACCCCTCCCGTGGGTCACCTTCCCTCGGGCCTCCCCTCACCCCAGTGACGGTTCCTCAGAGGAGGCTGGGGGAGCTGAGGGGCTGCAGTCCTTCCCCCAGCCCCCAGGGTGGCTCAGTGGGGAGACACACGTCCAGGACCCAGGACTGTCCATGTATCCCCATTCCCTGCTAGGCATAGGGACACGAGAAGGTCCCAGGACATAGGCCTCTCTAGAATGATCAGGGCCATTCCCCACAGCTCAGCAGCTTCTTGGGGCTGAATACCCCCGGACCCCAGGAAACTGCTTGGTGACTCAGACAGAGGGGAGGAGGGACACTGCAGAGGCCTGCGAGTGGACGCCTCACTGATCCATCCTGGGGCCCACTGCCGCCAGGGGGTGCCTTCTAGGACTGGGCTCCTGAACTCTGCATTTTGAAATCAATTTAATGAGTCACCACCAGCAGTTTCATAAAATGAAACAGAACAGAAACCATCAGCGTGCAGGGCTCAGGTAAAGGAAACTTGTTTTAGATATATGTGTATATATATGATGGAAAATGGAATTGATCTTTGCCATAATTGTTAACGTTTCAAACCTGTTGTTTAAGCCCAGCCTTAATGTGCACCCCGCTTTACATGCAGACCGTGCAGACCAGGGCAGCCAGTGACGAGCGTCAGACTCAGCTGCCTCCTGTCCCCCACCCCTCCTCGATGTCACTCCCCTCGCATGTGGAGACCTAGATGACCACTGTGAGCCTCTTCCTGCCAGGATGTTGTCTGGGGCCCCTCACTCATTTTAAATAAGTCCCTTTTCAGGCCGCCCCCAGGGAACTCTGAAATCAGAGGGGACTTAAAAGTCTCCTCCTGGGAATCTGAGTCCCAGGACCAGTAACAAAATCGAGCAGCCCCAGAGGGTGTGGGGAGGCATTTAAAGGACCAGCAGAAGCTCGGGTCAACACCACCAGCACAGCTACCTCGCTCCCCTGCCCTCTCCCTGGGACCGCCCCCTCCCCCCCCACCCGCCCCCCGCCAGACAGGGTTTGGCTGGCGATGCCTGGGGCCAGGGTGGTGGCTGCATCCCAGAGACTTAAGAAAGGTGACTTTTTTTCCCCAGTAGAAAGGCTCCTCTTGGAGCTTCTGTGGGGTCCTAGGCTCTCTGGCATCCCAGGGCTGTCTTTCCAGAACTTCCTTGGCCTTTGTCTCTTAGCTGGTCACCGCTACTCCCTCTTCCTGGGAGGACAGAAATTGGGTGTGCTATTTTATAATTAGGGGATTTAGGGGTGAGGTCAGGACAGAGTGGTGGGTGGGAACCTTCCTTAAAGGTCCTCATTTCTCTACATCCTCACCGACACTTGTAACTGGCTATTTTTAATTCTAGCCATCCTAGTGGGCGTGACATGGTATTTTGTTGTGGCTTTAATTTGCATTTCCTTGATGGATAATGGTGGCAAGCATCTTTTCCTGTGCTTGTTAGCCGTTTGTATCTCTCTTGCTTTTTTTTTTTTTTAAGTAATCTGTACGCCCAAGGTGGGGTTTGAACTCACAACCCTGAGATTAAGAGTCACGTGATCTACAAACTGAGCCAGCCAGGCACCCTGCCATTTGTATATCTTGTTTGGAGAAAGGTTTCTTCAGATCCTTTACCCATTTTAAAATTGTATTCTCTTTTCATTGTTGAGTGGCTAGAGTTCTTTGTATATTCTACATGCTAGTTACTTATCAGATACATGATTTGCAAATATTTTCTCCCAATCTGTGGGTTGTCTTTCTCTACCCAAAGCCTTGGCATTAAGGTAGAAATGGGGCCAGAGATTTATTTCAACACATCTGGAGTACGAAATGGGTCGGGGGCTGTGGAGATTTGGGCTTGGGGGAAATGCTCACCTGTTTACTCTGGGGGATCCTGCCACTCTCATCTGGTCAAGCATGGGCATGCTGGCCCACAAATGTGGGAGCAGCGGCCTGGGGACCAGCTGCCCCTGGAGGCCGTTGTGGTACCACCGAGGACAGCCGTCGACCCGGGAGTGTTGGCGGGAGGCTGTGTGCACCTCCGTCACCGTGGGTGACTGAAGGCTAATTAGTTCTCTTACACATCGCGGCGGACTGCCGAGTGTCTGTTCTGAATTAGCTCTGTGTAGGAGCCTGCCGCCACAGCTCTGAGCTGGCCCCGAGGTGGAACGGGGGTCAGGGAGGCCTGCCCTGCCTGGGCAGTGGGGGAGCCTGAGATCTCTCCCGTAGACCCTGTGGTCACTTCCCGAGCTGACACCCCACCTCGTCAGCCCTTTCCCTTCCCGTGGACTGCCGACGACTTAGAAGAGGCCTGAGGTCGGACCAAGCAGGGCAAGCGTGAGGACAGAGTGTGGGGGCTCGTGTTCACCTGTGCCTTCTCTCTCCGCCCTCCCTTCTAGAGATCAATGGTGCCTGTTCTGCCTGCAGGGGGCTGGTGGTGCCCCTCCTCCTCCCAGATAAAGCAGCCTCGTCCACACCTGGTGACCCTCCCTGGCCCTGGGACTGCACCTCTGTCATGGCCCGCATCTCGCTGCCCCTTCCCCACCACGAGGAAGCGTGGGGGGCCTCCGGGCCAGACCCCCTGCAGGTCGGCCCCGTGCACCCTTGGGCCGGCTGGGCCCCCAGCGTGCCCCTCAAAGACAGCCTGAACCAGCTCAACCTGCCCCCACGGCTGCTGCTGGCCACACGGTGGCCCCCGATCCCGGGCCCCGCCGGGGACCAGGCCGCAGACAGACTGCCGGGGGGCGCGGTGCGGGCCCCCCGCGGCCCCGGCGGCTTCCAGTGCCCGCACTGCTGCAAGCCCTACCACACGCTGGCCGGGCTGGCCAGGCACCGCGAGCTGCACTGCTGGCTACGGACGCCACGCTGCTTCCCCTGCAAACACTGCGACAAGGAGTACAGCAGCCTGGGCGCCCTCAAGATGCACATCCGCACGCACACACTGCCCTGCCCCTGCGCCATCTGCGGCAAGGCCTTCTCCAGGCCCTGGCTGCTCCGCGGCCACATCCGCACCCACACAGGTGGGTCCGCCGGAGGGACCCGGCGGGGGCGAGGGTCAGGCCTGGCCCTTGGAAAGGGAGGGAGGGGTCTGCGTCTTGCTTTCCAAAGCCCCACAGACCAGAGGCTCAGACATCAAAAACGCCCTCTCTCCCCGTCCTGGAGGCCCCGGAGGCCGGAGTCTGGAACGGGGTGTAGGTGGGGCCACGCTCCCTGCCGAGGCTCCAAGGGAGGGTCCTTCCTGCCTCCTCCAGCTCCAGAGGGCCTGGGTGTCCCTCAGCGGTGGCCGCGCCCCTCGCCCCTGCCCCGTCCTCACGGGGCCTCATTTCCCTCTGTTGTAAGGACACCAGTCACATGGGACCGGGGCCCACATACCCCAGGGCGACCCCACCCTAACCCGGTCACATCTGCAGGGGCCTGTGCTCCAGGTCAGGTCACATCCACAGGCACCGGGGGTTACGACGCAGACACCTCTGTTAAGAGACACACAACTCAACCCACAACACCCGGCAAAGCACAGGACGCACCTGCCACGGCCTTCCGGAATCTGGAGCCGCAGGAGCAGGGCACGGGGCAAGGCGGGTGGCCAGCACGGGGGCCACACGGACTGTCTGAAGGGCACAGATGGTGGCTGCAACTTGACCGGGGCCCAGGGGCAAACCCATCCCCGGGAAGAGGATGCCTGAACACAGGAAGGGAGAGAAGGGCAGCTGTGGACAGACAGACGGACAGACACAGATGAGCCAAGGAAGGAGAGGGGCCCAGGAGCCTCCGCACTTGGTCTGTAAACCACCGCTGAGCTGGGCCTGAGGGCAGGGGGTAGGACCACACCTCACCCCAGGCCCACCAGGACAGGGAGAGGCAGACACAGACAGAAGGCCAGGAATAAGACTCGCGGGGCCGAGGCCCACGGCTGCCATACACGCTCGCTGTCCCTGGAGCCTCGCTGGCCCTAAGTCACGCCTCTGTAATCAGGACTCTTTGGAGTCCCAGCCAGACAAACGCTCGAAAGAAGGGTTTTGCAGAAGCTGTTATCTGGGCTGAAATTCCATTCGGTTTTCCTTAGCTCCCCCCACAAAGATGTCCCTGAGCAGCCCCCACACACCCTCGGGGGCTCAGCACTCTCGTCTGGGAGTGCTGAGGGCGGGAGGCCCCGCAGGAGGCTGACCTGGCTGGGAGGACACGTGGGAGCTTTGGGCTTTGGGCTTTGGGAGCTTTGGGCGGCAGGGATGAGATGCCCTGGGGCCGTGGGGGCTGCAGGCTGGTGCCTCTCAGGATTCTGTAGGGTGGAGGACCAGGAGTCACTCCACACGGGCAGAGGAGAACAGATGGCCCCCAATGGTCCTCTTATACTTGTTAGGGTCGTCCTGGGGGCCCAGCTCCCAACAGAAGGACTTTGTCTAAATCCCTGGTCGCCCTGATTGGAGGTGCTCCAGGGGACACAAGGTTCTTAAGCCATTCCTAAATGCCTGCTTCATTGCAAGGGCTGGGCCTCGTTCCTCCCAGCCCACCTTCATGGCCGACTCTGTGGGAGCCATGCTGCTTGCCACCCCTGTCCTTCCATGGGTGGGAACAGCGGCCAGAAGGCCCCTAGTGCTTCTCAGGGGCAGATGTGGGCAAAGGGCCCCAGGAGGGCTCTGGCACAAACAGAGAAAGATCTAGCAACCGTGGTAGATCCAGCAAAGAACCATGCTAGATCTTTCCTCTTAGAAAGGGTTTTAGGTGCTGCAGTCCTGCCCGGATGTTACATTCCATCCTATTCCCAAGCGGCTTGGACCTCGACAGTGTTTGTGGGCCTGTTGGTCCTAGGGCTTCCTCCTGGATCAGGTGCCAAAGCCCCCACCATGCATCTCCTGAGAAGGGTGCTGAAGGAAGATAATGCATTAGAATTGCCATGAGCATTTGGGGGAGGTGGAGGGGCTTATTCATTTATTTTCTATTTAAAGATTTTATTTATTTGGGGCAGGGGAGGAGCAGAGGGAGAGGGAGAAGCTCAAGCAGACTCCCGCTGAGCGCGAAGCCTGATGCGGGGCTCCGTCTCACGACCCTGAGACCATGACCTGAGCCAAAATCCACAGTCAGATGCTCACCAGCTGAGCCACCCAGGCACCCCGGGGCTTTTCATTTATAAACGGACCCATGAACCTGGGGCCAGCTCCTGTGACCACGCAGAGGGACACTGATCCGGCACTCCTCTTCCTCCCCCAGGTGAGAAGCCCTACACCTGCTCTCACTGCAGCAGGGCCTTCGCCGACCGCTCCAATCTCCGGGCCCACCTGCAAACACACTCCGACACCAAGAAGTACCAGTGTAAGAGCTGTGCCAAGACCTTCTCCCGCATGTCGCTCCTGGCACGCCACGAGGAGTCCGGCTGCTGCCCCGGCCCCTGAGGAGCGCGGGCTCGGTGCAGGGAGGAGGGACAGGACGTCACCCCAGGAGCTGTGGGCTGACCCGCTCCAGGCAGCCTATGCTGCCTATGCTCGCCTGCTGGGTGTTTCTCCTCTGCCCGTCTGCAGCCGCCCGCCTCCGTCCAGAGCCAGAGAAGCCCGGTGGGCTGTTCGGGTAAGTGACCGAAGAAGGTCACCAAACCGTGAACCACAGTCCTGTGTCTGACGTGCTCTGGTTTCTGGTTCTGTTCTCCCAGAGTCGGCTACCAGCACGGACAGCTCCTGCCATTCAGCTGGCCCTCGCGGGCAGAGCGGCCTCGTGGCTCACCTCCACCTGCTGCTGGTCTGGACTCTAGGCCAAGTCACGTCACGGGTGCACGCACGCATGCCCCCCTGCCCACCTCACCGGGCGGCCCCGGGGACAGAGCTGGGACCCCATCACAACCGCACGGCAGTGAGGAGCCTAGAGCCCTGGCTGCCATGTCCTCTGAGGCTCCAAGTCTATGGCGGAGGCTGAGCGCAGAGCTATCCTCCAGAGGCCACAGATGCCTGGGTAATTTGGGCCTCTGGCCACGGAGTAGGGGAGGCGATGGCGAGGGCGTGGAGCCATGAAGTGCAGGGACAGAGAGCAGGGCTGGCGGGAGGCAGGTGGCGAGAGCACAAGCAGGTGAGCAGAGGCACCGTCTTTCGGAAGAAAGAGACCAGCATTTAATAGGGAGGGATTGTAGCCACGGGGCGAGGACATGCTGGGGTGAGGGCGTGAGAGCAGAGGCCCGAGGAAGAGGCAGCCATGGGCTGCGTTGGCAGGGTGCCCAGAAGACAGTCTAGTCCTGGGTCTGCACACGTCTCTCCTGAGCCCACTGCGTCACCCAGGAGCTGTGTCCATGGCACCGTCACCTCCCTCTGCCTGCCTCTCCTGATGCCACAGGTGTCCACCAGCTGAGTGAGCAGCAGACCCTGGCACTGCCCAAGACACGCCTCCCAAACTGACTCAGGTAACAACAGGAGACCCCTCCCCAGCCTCGGGCCCCCACGTGGCAGCCTCTTCCCACCCGAGACCTCCAGGCGGTCACCTGCTGGGCTGGTCCTCCCTCTTGCCAGCACATCTCAGCGTCTCCGGCTGGCCCGCGTCTAACGGGGACTGATTGAGTTCTCGACACCCGGAGGGGACACCTGCTCCTCTCTTCAGGAGAGCTGGCCTGCTGTCAGCAACGCCACTTCTGGCCCAGGCTGAGGGACAAAGTCAGGGACCTTGGTCCTGGCCCTGAATGGGGCCATAGGGCAAGCGGCAGAGGCCCCTGTCTCAGCCCCAGGCCACATGGACCTGCTGAGGAGCATTTACCAGCCCACGCCGGGCCACAAGGCCCCTGTAGATTCCTCCAGAAGCTCCTCCAGGGCTGGTTTGATGACGGCCATTGGAGGAGCCTTGGGGACACCCCAGAGGAAATGTGACCATGATCTTGGGCTTCTCTGGACCAAGGGTGACCTTGATGAAACTGGCCACCCAGGAGACCACAGCTCCAGCATGCACCAGACTGTATCAGCAGGTGGAATGAAGACGCCCTCTCGGAAAGCCTCGCTCACATTCCCACGCCTGCACCGCTGCCTTCCCTCCGCAGGTATCAGCCATCCCTCGAGGCTTAGCTAATATATCAGTTTGCTGGGGCTGCCGTGACCAAGTCCCACACACTGGGCGGCTCGAACCACAGAAATCTACTCTCCCACAATCTGGAGGCCAGGAGTCCCAGACCGAGGTGCCGGCATGGCTGGTTCCTTCTGGGGCCCCTCTCTCGGCTCCTACTGGCTTGCTGGCATCTTCGATGTCCTCGGCCGGTAGACCCATCACCCATCTCTGCCTCCACCTCGCTCGGCTTCTTCCTGCCTCTGCGTCTGTCTCTGTGTCCAAATTCCCCCTTTTTGTGAGGACACCAGGCATACTGGGTTAGGACCTACCTTGATGACCTCATCTTAACTTGATCAACTCCAAAGACCCTGGTTCCAAATAGGGACACATTCTGAGGTCCTGGGGGTCAGGATTTCCAACAACTAATGTGAACACAGAGTTTGCCAAGACGCCTGATGGGGGGGGCGGTGGTCCCTGTGCTTGACTCCTCTGTCCTCTCAGTCCACAAAGGATCGGGGGGCAGGGGGGGTGCAGTCGATTTAACTGACAGATTTACTGGAAACATTTCCCACTTCCCACCTGTCCATCATCTGAGCAGGGCTCCGCGCTCACAGGGCAGCCTTTCCTCCCAGCAGTCTCCCGGAGCTCTGGGCTCCTCCATTGAGCGGGTCAAGTCAGCGATCGGGCCTATGTCCCACCATCTCACAGGAGGCCTTTTTGTTTTTTTTTTTTAAATAGCATCCAGATGCCTGAAGGAAGCTATATTGTAGATTGTGTTCTATTTCTGGGCCCCGATGTCTAAATGAGGCGATGCACCTGTTGGGTATGAAGGGAGAGAATTTCGCAGCCCTAAAATAAAGTCGAATGCTTGCCCTTCTGTGCCGGCCCATGGAAAGTGCTCTTATATTTATATCTGGACTGGCAGAGGGCAGGGCAGTGGAGGCTGGCTTGGCCAAGGGGGTGAAGAAAGGCCCAAGCACCTGCTGGGGAACCAACGGAGGATGAATGGGGGAGACGGTCCACCAGGAGCGAGTTGGCTGTGGTCAGACCACAGGGAGGCCATGCCACCCCGCCCGCGCAGGGCTGGCACCTCCCCCCTCCCCACCACCCCCACCCCCGCTTTTCCTTGTCACTTTGCCTGGTCGTCAGAATTCACCTGGGTCACCCATTTAAAAGCTGACTTTCTGGAGCCCCCTCCCAACACCTACAGAGTGGGAATCAGGAAGGGGGTCTAGGCCTCGTTCATGTCTGTCCTGGTGAAGTGGGCGTGGCTGGTGCTTTTCTCCGGGGGCTGCTGTTTGGGTTCCTCCACCCATAGGCCTTCTTTTTCCTACCCAAATTTTACTGATCACATTTCCCCTCTTCACCCTAAAGAAGGCCTTTGGGATCAAGTGGAGGAGGGACCAGAGGCCCTGGGGCTGAGGAGCTGGGAGTGGTGCTATGGTTGCAGCCCGTTATGTCTGGAGAAAAGCAGAAGCCTAAGAGATCAGCGAGGATTCCGGACAAGAGGAAAACCATGTAACGAGCCCTCCAAGGTTGGGGACCCCGTCTTTCAGCATGAAAGGTGCCCCTGGATAGCAGCATGAGGGCCATGGACAGGGTCAGCACCAGATACCCGGCCAGGAAAACCACTGTTCTCGGACTCAGATGCCAGCGCCCAGCCTCCACGGGCTCAGGTCCTGGAAACAGGTGTGAGAGGGACACCAAGTTTCTCAGTGGCCCGGTCCCCTGCCCCGCCCCCCATCAAGGAAACCTCTCTCCTGAAGCTGCAGACACACTAAGGTTATGCCTTCCCTTCCAAAAGCCCAGAGGGTTCCATAAATATCATTTTGGCCCAGAATATTCTGGGGGGGGGGTTCTCTGGAAGTTTGAAAATAGCCCACTTGTTACTATCTATATTCAGAGAACCCACTCCTGGCCTCCACTTGGTGGCTAAGTATAGCTCGCTGGCAAAGTTCAATGGAACAAAAGTTTCCAGGCCTCTATCACTTGCGGATGGCATGACATTCCAGGGAGGGCACTGCCAAGACTCAGGGGCTCCAAGGAGGTTGGGACAGCAGGGCGCCCCCGAGCGGGGGAGTCTGTGAGACTCACTGGCAATCAGGTGTCCTGGCCTGGTTCCCAAGTGAGGTGTTCTGATCCCAGCAGAGCCAATCCCACTATAAAGCCTTAGCTTCTGCTTCTGTAAAAAAGGAATCATGCTAAACTCTATTTCACAATTCAGGGGAGTGCCAAATACATATAATAGCAAAAAAAAAAAAAAAAAGACACTTAGGATGCCTCAAATAAAACCAAATTGCTAACTTTAGAGAAACCGTCCACCTTCACCTCCTCTTAGAAACTGCATGCACTTCCCGACCACCGAGTTCTGGCTCCTGATCTCCCCTCCCAACTGCCTGCGCTGCTAAGAGCGTCCTCAGGGCCCAGCAGACACGGGCAGGGGCTCGAGTACACAGTGGTGCCAAGGGCGGGAGGGCTGAGGGGCAGAGGTTCAGGGTCTGTCACGGTGGCTGGGCACGTACGTCTCTGGTAGGTGCAAAAGTTCGGGGCTGCCTCCCCACATCATCCATCCATGCCGCAACCCCGACCCCCAGGCTGACCTGAGGGCATCCACCGCCCCCC